GAGCGGACACTGGAAAACAGGTAGAGCCGACACGAACTTACAAGCGGAAACGAACAGGCAACAAATCTTTGCATCATTTACTAGAGAAGAAGCAGGGGCGAAAATGGGGAAATGCGCAGCAAGGAAATGAAACGATGTTATAATAAATGGGCGTAATCACCCTACTGATGAGTAGTAAGAACAGAAAAGAAAAGCGCTGGTTACCGTCGATTCACGAGCGAAATCAACATTTTTTATGCCTTCATCAAGATTTGTTGAGTATTTTCAGTGTCGGTTTGTGCATCTGGCCGCACAATGCTGCGGTTGAATTGCATCTTTTTGGAAACCTCGATTTCAAATGGAATTGGATCACTTCCCTGTTCCGTTTTGTGGCGTAAGGCGGCGAACCGGCGTATGATACCACGCGCCGGTTGATGTGTTAGAACATCGTTAGCTGCAAGTGGCAAAGTTGTATATTGGCTTGGATGCTGTCAGAGCACCCACAACTAGACAGGAGGATGATTATGGTCCCCGACTAAATTCTCTGACTCAAACGCCTGACCGAAAGACTGGTGTTTCCCTGGAAATTCTGTTGCAATACAATTTTTATGGAACAAGTCTCCATTTATTGTCCAACGCACAGGAGACTGTGGTAGTCAGATCTCTAAACATTGGCCAAGCTGATGTGAGAGACCATGTGTGTCCCACGGACACCATCCAGCATAGCTTATTGGGTCACGCAGGCACTTCTGTAAGGTCCGGCCCCTTCATGACGGAAGTGGATGGAACAGGGCGATAAACCCTGTTCTTCAAATTTTACTGTTCTGTCGGTTCCGACCGAGTCTACTAGCTACTCTAGTCGATTCATAGGTCAAGTCTGCCCGGAACTATTGTCGGGACAATCGTGGCTACGGTCGCGCTGACAGCAATTGCGATAGCGGAGGACACTCTTTTGTGATTTTGGGTATAGTCGTGACGTTGCTACTCATCATCTTCATCGACAGCACAAAATCGGTGTTCCGCACTAATACTTCGCTACCGTACAACTATGATTTATTTGAAAGCTTTATTGTAAAGAAAAGAATAAAAGTGGACAGTGAAGGGACTTAGTGGTAACCTGTCACAATCATCCTAAGGGGCTTACATCTCCAAACACTCATTCGGGCAATCTGGATAGAAACTGACAGCGAGAAAGCCACTGATGTCTATTTTTAGCCCTATCATTCAAGCAGGAAGGATCATGCAAATCTCATCTTGGAAAGTGGGTCCTACTGGCAGTACCCACACTTTGTTATCGATTTCATTTCCCTCCTCTCGGAAAACACGCTTTTCCGTCAACGTTGGTTCAGCATGTGCAGCTTTTGGTGCTGACCACGTTCCCCTATTAGGGTCTCCGCTTCACAACGGAAAACTCCTACTACCTCGTTCCGAATTCGCTGACGCCATCCGACCTGAAGACGCCTCAGATCACGTCCCTACGAAGGGCAGATCTCGGCACCACACGACAATACAACCCTCACTGCCGCCTTTTGCACGCAGCCCTTGAAACCCGGTGATGTCTTTTTGGCGCCACAAGTAACGCACATTGGCAAACGTGATTCGGGTCTTTGAGATTCATGCACGGACTTCATCAGACACAGCTCCGTCAGAGTTAATACAGCTACACGGGTGTGTGGAAATCTCCACACCCTCCAGTGCTGTCGCTCGAATTGTGAAGGACAGGTTTAGAAACTGCACGTTCTGGAGCTTAACTTTGCACTTTGCGGATGCGAAGAGCATGCCTAAACATCCTTTATTCAACAAAGCTTGTGCCCCTCCTTCATCTTCAAAGATGAGGACGATATCGTCTGCGTACTCTGGATCGGCAAGGTTCTCGCCAGCATTGATTTCAATACCGGGGTTTTAAAAACCTTGCAGCGTTCGTCTCATTATTTCATGGATGACGAATTTAGACGAGAATGGACATTCCTGTCGGTCACCACTGTTGTAGGTGAGCATTCAGAGGCTCACCACACTCGCATACACCCAGAATTCTGTGAATGTAGAGACCGCATTATGTTCACAAACTTCTGTGGAACCACGTGCTGAGAAATTGTTGTTACCAGCACTGGCCGATGGGCAGAATCAAACACACCCTTGAAATCAAGGAACACGAAGATTATGGTTCGCCTGCAAATTCGCATCGCTGTAACTCCTGAATTGTGGTCGATAAATCCTCTAAACGGCTGAAATCCCGCTTGATGCTCGCTGGTAAAGATTTTGCATTCTGCCGTTGGAGGACGAACAATCACTTACACCAGGAGGCTCGTTACAACGGGAGTCAAAATGATCACCGTATGGTTGCATCATTCAGTTCGGGTCTTTTTAGAGTTGGGAATTATTATTGGCTCACCCCAGTTGCCTTGGACAATCTCTTTCTCCTTGATAGACGTAAACTGCCTCAGTTGGGCAGTTGCTGAGGGATTCATCACTGTTTTCAAACAGAGTGTCGGGGGTTGACGGGACCAGTGACACGATGGCGGTCTAGTAAGGATATACACTCGAACGAGTCTGGGGCTAATGGGGGTTCCATATGTACAAAGAACGACTGTCCGGATTTGCTTAACTAATCAATTGCTCGTGTTTTCTTCTCGCTGTATGGCAGCGAATGATCAATGTTGAGCGCTGGTGTACGCTCTCATTGATGATGGTGCTTTCTTCGCCTTGCTTTACGATGATGTGCTTTTGTATTTTAGTACCCGTTGTGCGCAACAGTGAGAATAGTGTTTATTATGTTGATACAACCTGCCAGCGAAAGAAAGAAGGCCTTCGCTGCGGAGTTATTTATTAGAAAATGCCAACTGAACAGCTACAGACTATTGGACGGGGAAGCAAAACTCTCACATACATCTTGTTTACGAAAACTGAATATCCGTCTTCTCTTTGAACGCGTCTTCTGGATATTCATTGACTGTTACTCAAATCCAAGCAAATACTACAAAGTGACTCCACAAATTCCGCAATTGATCTCACTTTTCAAGAGACGCAAAGCGGATTTTCAGGAAAACATACTACTCGCATACCTCTCCGTCAGTAGTATCACCGTTATACTATCCAACTCTGGAAGCTACGGCAAAATAGTATATGTAAAAAGTCTGGAACCCCTCTTGGTCTTTTTTATCAGTAATTCTGCTCCGTAGCAATCTGGTTCAACTGCTCCCACAACAGCCACCTGTTCGGGATGGTCTAAATCGCACTCTGATGCACCTGACCCTGTTTCGGAAATCTTACCCTCTTGCTCTACACCTTAACTTTGTTCCATTGGAGCCAAAATGAGTATTACTCATTACGCAAGTTTCCTTTTCAGGTTCTGGAGGTGCCTGAATGAGTACTGTTGGGACAAAGTTAACACTGACGAACATCGGTGGTTTGCAGTGTCCTGGTAAATTGCACCTTTACATGTCCTTTCAGGCTGAATCGATGGGTTTTTTAATTTTTCAGTCAGTTTCCCCTAAATCTGGTTTCTTTCATAAAGTTAAATTTTGACAGGCAGAAAATTTCGGTCTCTTGTCTAGGAACCTCTCGTGTAAGATTCCCTCATCATCACGCTTCTTTCTTTATTCTCAGCGGTTCCTGCTCATGCTACGGGTCCAATGGCAATATTCGAACTCCTTGCCTACATTGTGGACCAGCCTGCCCCGAAATTGCCTCGGTTCTGTTTTTCCGATGGCCTCATTGACCTGGTCGACGCGTGTTTGCGCAGCTCTCCAAGCGAACGGCCTTCACTGGAGGCCTTGCTGAATCACCCTTTTGTGACTACCGTTGCCGGTGCATGTCCCACCGGCAAAGTTCATCGCCAAAGCACGGTGTATGACATACGTGATGGGTTTGGTGGCGTCAGTGAGGAAACAGATCCCATCAATATTGAACGATACTTATTAGCCATTCTACCTCCACTACCACCTGAGGAATGTAGTGGGTGAGCCCTTCGTGAGTCAATCACTCACTAACCGACTCACTTCGATTCCGCATCACTCGGGCCTTCATTGACCAGGTGGTTGGTGTGCTTATCGATTTCGTGCGCACTTGCGACTGTTCACAATTTGCCCACACTGTGATGTTATTCCCCAGTCTATTGGTCACCTCATTACGGCTACCCCCACGGTCAAACCGTACCCCTTGTCATTTTTTACACCCACTGGTCTTCATTTATCGATGAAATTCTTGCATACTACACCGGCGTTCCCATGTCAAATTGACCACATGGCGTCGTTGCCAGTTCCACGTGACCGGTCTTCTCAATGTCCCTGAGTAACCAGTAATCCTAACGATTGTCAATACGTCACCGATTCAGATATACGATTAACGTTTTTTTAGCCGGTTCCTTTTTTCTCTCTTATGTTTTAATCATGTGATCAATTCTGTTATACCCTACACGGTGTGCACAGTTGCTTCATTTTTAGTAGTATTTTTTTAGTAAAATTCTTGTCTCTCGCCAGGTTTTTTTCCTTCTGTCAGTTGGGCTTCATTACTTCTAATTGAGAGAACCGATGTCATTTTTGAGATCCACCCCCTCCCCGTCTGTCTACTTTGGGTTCTCAACCCTCCCGGATGTGGGTGGGGGTGGTTGTATATGATGCTATACGAGGATTTGTACTTTTGGCGTCATAAAATGCTAACCCGAATTAGGAGCTCAGGCGCGAGCGTACTGGAATTTGGGATTCGAACTCAATTGTTTAGGCTTGGCAGTAGCTCAAGTCACTTGGTCTCCCCCCCCCTCGGGTAACATGACAGCTAGTCACCGAATGCGTGTTACAACTGGACAATTGTTATTAATATTTATTATTAACCCTATAATTAACTAGACTCCAAGTTGTCCGTGAAGAGTGTGACAGGTGGTATAATGCTCGTATGGGAGCAGTGTTCATGTGAACGATGCGGCAATCACAGTGATACAGGTGGCACGTCTGTGTATGCCTGTTGTTCCAACCACACGTCACAGAAGGGTTTAACTTCCCACAAGAACACCTGACAAGTAAGGCACTCCGACGACACTTGGATTTAAAAGTCTGCAATGAGTCCTCACCATGTTGACAGACCTACAGTAAAAGCCTATAGATGACTGTCTCTCTGTGGCCCAGCAACCGGGTCACGTCAGAGTGTACCTTTGATAATTTCTTCCAGTTGATCACATTCAAATATCGATTTTCATATTAGGGTGTGCAATGCCGTCACCAACAACCTCAGATGTGCTGATCATTGATTTCTCTCTGGATGGGGAGACGGGACACTTCAGTGGTTAGAGACATTGTAAGATATGGTCCAATCGCACTCTCACATATCCAAGCTGTCAACTTCGGTCCATACTCCTCAAGGCCATGTCCACCGGCACTCCTGTACGGTTGATGATGGTAACATGAACCGTTGGACAACTGTAGGTCCAGCAGAACGTCGCCATATCATTTTCCCCGTCGTTTTAAACTAATTTAAGGCCTCCGCCTGTTGTTCGTACCTCGATTCCCGACGTTTTGAAACTATGTACTCCAGCATACAGCTGATCAAAGTGGTATGTAGTTGTTCATTACAGAAATGTCGGTTTTTCCTCCATCCGGTCTTTACCTGTACTGTCCATTAAAGTGGTGTACGCATGTCGCCCAACCATTGGTTGGCGCATATCGTGCCCAGCGTTTCCACTGTGGTAACATCAGAGCACTAGGTGGCCTTTGTTTCGTGGCAGTATGTGATTGCTCTTTTTGTCTGTCATCCGTCTGTACACACTGTTGCTTAGTTCACTTGGCGATATGACGAGCATGTACTAATCTGGAAGTGAACTACAGGGTGTTTCATAATAGACGCAAAAAGTAACACCCATGTTAAAACTTCAACCCCAATACAAACATTTATCATTTTTTATGTGTACATACGTGCATCATTCAGGTTTACTGTGAACAAACTGACATTACAAAAGATGTTGGGAACGATTTCTTCATTGTCCAGCAGCCAGTTAGCGAACGTGACACGTTGCTCCTTGTCTTCTTCCGTGATGTTTTGTAGTAAAGTGAAATGATGCGGGTAGAGATGAAGGTGGCGTCTCGTAATGCGATGCACATTGGCGCGGGGAATGCCGGTCAACTGAGACACCTGAGTTATTGACGAGGATGCCATGGTGCTCCGGGACTGAAATTGCTCGACGGCATTCTGTACAATGGGTGCTCTTTCATCACTCAAAGACTTTCTCCCTTTCCCAGGAATAACCAATACAGATCGAGTGGACTCAAATTTCGCAATCAAGCCCGTAATGGTCGACACGGTGAAAGGATCTTTGATGAGACCATGTTTGGTTTTGTAACCACGAAGTGCAGCCGTGGCGCTTTCACCAAGGCAATAATGGAGTTTCACAATTTCAATGCGCGTACTCACATCCATTGTAGACAGAAAAAATGCCAACACTTACACACAAAACCTCCTTTATGTGGCTATTAATAATGAAAGGTTTCGCCACCTTTCCTCTGATTGACTACGTTTACTCACCCAATCCAATTTTGTGTCTATTATGAGACACACTGTACAACGGACTGCAGCTCCCTTATACTGAAGGGATGCGGTACTGTCCGAAAGGGCACCGGTTCGTTCGAACAGATTATCAAGCCTCGTGTTGCTTGGGACTTGTGTACAATGGCTTCGTTTTCTCACTCTAGACATCCTAGCAACAGCCCACCAGATTGCTTACCGCACCGCTTAGCTAGTGTACATCGGTGTACGGAAGACCAGTTTGGACGCTGGTTTTCATCATTTTGATGTGAACTTCGAACTTAGCAGTTACGGACAAATGCCACTTCTCATTTGCTTCGGATGGGTTTCATGCGTGTTCCATTGCAATTTACTTTGATAAGGAGATGGTGCGAGGAGTAAATTGTCCAAAGGACAATGGAATCAGTAGTCTCAAGAAACTCGTGCACCTTTTTATAGAATGGACATGACTAACTGTGTTCCATGAATAATGTATAAAACTCCACGGTCCATACTGCAATGTGCTGCGGATAACAGATTGGAAATGGGTTTCAAAAGTTGTCGGAGTAAACAAACCAGCTATTTTCAAACTTTCCTAGACGTCTGAGCTTGTTTTTAAATAACCGCATGAATCTGAATCAGTCAGTGATTTTACACAAGAGTCAATCGTCTTGTTGACCGAAGAAAACCACACAAGCGCTCAGAAGGAATTCTGGCTCTTCGTCTAATATTTTAAGCAAACATGGCTTGGTGTCAGCGATTCATGAATTCTCACTGCTCTGTTCTATATTTCATCCGGAATATCTTGTGCGCTGATTGCTAAATCGATGCATTTTCGTGAAAGTCACCTCAAAACCACAGTTATTCCGTACGTTTCCCCGCTCGTCACATTTTCAGAAGGCTCAATGCCAACAAGTCTACTCCATTCAAAATCGATCAATTAGTTGTGTCCAAAAGGGTCTGTGGTGTACTGGTTACTCAGGGAGTATTTTGCCCCCACCGGCTCAAGCGATACCTCCTATCCTATAGACTTCGGTCATGAATCCGCTCCACACAGCATTGACCAAAAGAGGTTTACACATATTAGGACGTACACGAAGGTTTTCATTATGTGCTATGCATTTTAGCTGGCTAATTTGGATTTGATCGATGCCCCTAACCAGTTTCTTCTCCCCAAGTCCCAGTAGTTATGTACGCTCTTAAAGGTAGTTGGTTCACTTGTGTGTGCCGGATACCCGGCCATTGAGCTGTCGTGTACTCGCTAGTTGCCCTGTTTTTGAAGTTGCATGCCTTATTTGGTTCTGGATCGACAGTGTAGGTCGCCTGCGTTTAGGCACGCACTTCGAAAGTGCAATTGGGATATCTCGTATATTGATCGACTCCCGCGAATGCTTATCAGCTAAACCCTTTCGTGTTGTATTTTCCGTTGTTAACAGAAAGTTGAGTGATCTAGGACGGCTAATCCGAAAAATAAACAAATTCTATTTGGCTAGCGGAGTCGTCAAACTGTGCACTTTCCCTTCCGATTGGGGCGTAAACCACGTTTGAGTTGTTGCGTCCAATAATGCATTTGAACACGAACAACGGTTGGGAATTTCTCGAAACAATATTCAACTCAAATTCGCGAAGAACGCAAATTCATCATCGGATTGTTAACCGTAACGTGCTAGTGTAGAATGATGTCGACTGCTGTGTATTTTCACATGAGAAATATTTGATTTTCTTTGATTCTCTTCTTTTTGGCTTGATTTCAGCTGTCTTGAATTTTCAGAGTTCTCGATCTTTAGCGGCAATGGAGGTGGATCCGCGTGGCTCTTGTTTAATTGCTGGGCTTGGCAGTTTCGCTACCAATGTTCCATTACCGGTCGAAATAACAGCAACTGGCTCATTGGTCCTTCACCTCATGTCACCCAAAAGCGCACTGATGATGTCTCCTCCTATGGTGACGAAAGTTTCGTAAGTCAGTTGCCAAGTTTGGTGGACAAATCTACAGCCACAAGATCAACAACCAATACTCTTCCCTCTTCTTTTCACTCTGTGGTGTCAAATACAATTGGATAAGATCTGTAGTTGTACAGCAGTGAAGCGTCGGTATCAACGCTGATGATGCTTTCTCTGGGGATCCTGACCGCTTGCGAATAACTTGTACGCATAAAGTTACCTGTGAGCTGCGTAGCCCGTCCCTCGTCTCCGATGACAAAGGACAGTTTATCGTCTTTTTACAAGCATATTATTTTCATTTGTCCCCAAAGAGAGTTTTCCTTTCCTCTTGTCTCTCTTTCTTGAGATAAACTGCTTTTTTCAGATATTATTCATCCCCAGAAGGCGGCTGTCCTATTGGGCGAAGGAATGGGTGCCGCTATGGAGGCAAGTGAACATGATCGGTAGCCAGAGACCAGTTGTCAGGTCATTGGGGGCGCCCGGCGATTAGAGAACAACAGCAACGCTGAACCCGCCGCCACTGATGTTTAGC